AAATAAATAAATAAATGCAATGTGGGATCCCAAATACAATCCTGGAATTTAAAAAAAGGGGGTAGGAGTGAGACATTAAGATCCAGAGAAGTCTTAGTTTAATGGTACTGCATCAATGTAAATTTCCTTGTTCTGATAATTGTATGATAGTTATGGAAGCTAGTTAGATTATGAGGCGGGGTGGGGCAGGGAATATACAGAAACTCAATACTTATAACTTTCCTCTGTATCTAATAGTAGCTGCCAATAAAAAATGTTTTTAAAGACTAGGAAGTATTTAAGGGCAGAGAATCAGTGTTCCCAGCACCGAATACAGACACCTTCATCTGCTAGTAGACAGTAAGGTGTTAAATGATGAATGAGTAAATAAATGAATTGACAGGTTATGATGTACAGACAAAACAATAAAAATGCTGTAGGTCAAAGCTATTTCACACATAAAAACAATTGTAGAATAAAGCCAGAAAATGAATCTTAAGCTGCAAAACTAAGAGCTCCGAGACACCATGAAACTCCTAAGGGAAACTGCAGGAGCTAAAAGATTTTCTAAATACTAAGGAATAATTGGGAAATTCTCCACAGATATAATTAATGTTTCTTTTCTTTTTATTTTTGTCTTTTTTCGTGACCGGTAAGGGGATCGCAACCCTTGGTGTGGTGTTGCCCGCACCGCGCTCAGCCAGTGAGCGCACCGGCCATCCCTATATAGGATCCGAACCCGCGGCAGGAGCGTCGCTGCGTTCCTAGCGCCACACTCTCCCGAGTGCGCCACGGGGTCGGCCCATAATGTTTCAATCCCTAAACATATACATAAGTATATGATCCTAGCTGCCCATACAAAGTAAGGAGATACATTAATTCAAGATGAAAAGATTAAAAGCCTAGAAAAGCTAGTTTAGGATTTCCTGACCCTGGAATTCCAGAAAATCCACCCTCAAACATGTTCCTATAATATGAACCCCTAGATAAGATGATGGCTTATAAACTGACCTACATTAGGATATTTTTTTCCAAGTGACAACTTGAAGTAGGAAGCAGATAATCAGAAAGTTGGAAAACAGCCCTGAAGCCAATGAGACATTCATGATCTCTACGCTGCCCTCCACAATCAATACTGGAGAATGCATCATCACAAGTGCACAGTAAACCTGAGAACATTCCTGAGGTCACATGTTCTCATTCCAGTCTCAAAGCAATCACTCCAAATACTTGGATCAAACATTCTCCTTTGGAGGAAAAAAGTAACATAGCAAACAAATTGCAAGCTACAGGTTTATCTGTGCATTCTTGGAGCATTTCCAGATGGCTCTCTGAGCTGAATTCCTCTCCTCACACCTGATGTAATCTGAATATCCAATTAACCCATATAACAGGCCACAAAAAAAAATGAGAGGATGCTGAGTAATTGTACCATAAATAACACAGTCCAAAATTACATCTAATTTCACTTTTTCTTATCTTCCTTTTACACGTTTAAGAACCCAGTTGAGATTCGATGAGTAGTATGCTATGAAAAAGAGCACTACTCATGCTACTACTGAGTGTGAGACGTTCTGCAAGGAGCCTTCACACACCTTATCATCCTGGATACTGAACCAGAAGGTGTATGTTTGGTTCAGGATTCTGTCAGTCATGTGACCTTGAACAAGTCTGTCAAAGGATAGGTCAAAGGTTAGCAAACTTGACACATGTCACAAAGCTATGTGGCAGAGCCAAAATTCAAATTGAAGTCTTCTAATTTCCATCTGGTACTTTTTCCTATTATACCACAAGGTCAGCCAAAAAATACTTACCTGGGAATAAGGAGAACTCAAAAAATATTCTACTCAAGATGCTAACTTTACTATATGGTGGTTGTTGATAGGTGTCATGAAATGAAGAAAACAAGTTGTTGTAGAAACCTAGCTTTAATGGTAGAAATGAGGGACAGACAAGGCCAAGGATTCAAAGACAGCAGCAAAGCAGTAATGCTGGACCTCAACACATATTTCTACAACTCTGAAGCTCTCACAGTCTCTTCTGAGAATAACCTTAGTTTTGACAGGGAAAAGCTACAATCTCACAAGTTGCAGAGAAGAGTTTACTTAAGAATTTTGTTTTCCTTTTGATTCATGATGGCTAAAGGACAAAGCTCTCCCTCCTCTTTATAACCCAACTCTATCTAGCACCAGCTTGAAAGAAAAACTGATATATCAGTATCCTCCTGAGTGAATGGAATGGTGAGAGCCCCTCAGTTACTGTGAGCTGGATGAGTCACTGTAACTGAGTCCTTTGATCTTCAAGAAGAATAGATATATCAGTATCCTCCTGAGTGAATGGAATGGTGAGAGCCCCTCAGTTACTGTGAGCTGGACGAGTCACTGTAACTGAGTCCTTTGATCTTCAAGAAGAATAGTGCTAAGCATTAACATTATCAGTCTTCCCCTTTTTTCTTTTTGTTGTCCATGTTTTTTTCATCACATTCATTTGATCCCCTTTCATGTGCCTAAAGACTATTTTGTGTCTCTCTCAAAATCGAATTTATTTCTGGCAGTACTGGTTTACATCTGTGAAGAAAGAAAAAACTCTCTGTTGATAAACTGTGAAAAGAAAAACTGAAAAAAAAAATTAAAGCTTAATCCCACACCACCACCAACCCCTTACCACTTCAAATATTTTTAAGTCACTAGCTTTGGTGAAGAGAAAAATAAACAGGAACTCCTGGGAGCACTCCCATTCCACTCTGATTTATCAGAGGTGCTCTGACAGGCAGCTTAGAGCTTCTTTTACAGTGAGTGCACTGTTGCTGAAAACAAGGTGAGATTACTAAGCAACAGTATGAGCCACACAGATGAGCCCAGAGGCTGGCAAATGTCAGAACATCAGCAGGTACTAGGTTATTGAGCACCTACTAGGCCAGATCATTCAGTAACAAATTGATCACTTATCTATCATCTGGTGCCTTTGAAAAAAATTCCAGTTGTCAAGTCACAAAAGGGATGCTGTATTTGGAACTAACAAAATCAAATTTAAGATAAAAGCTTTTAAAACAGCTACTACTTTTTATGACCACTTCAAATACCACAGGAGAAAAAAAATCCTAATCAACAAGGGTTCTAGTCACACACCCAGTGAAAAGACAACGTATTATCACGTTAGCACCCCAGCTATAGTGGCCAATGAAAGGACAGTGACTTACACAATTACACATTTCCAGAAATGTCTGATTGTAAATCAAGTTAGAATAAATTCATCTGCATCCAGCTGCAATAATCTGGGATAACTGGTTCTTCTAAAACTGCTAAACTCAGATAAAAATGATTCTACGAATCTGAATAGCATTGATAAATACTCAAATATATTCATTTTAAGCAATCATGCCAAAACATTAAATAATCAATTACAGACCTCACATATTTGTTTTAACTGAAACTCTAAATCACTTAAAATCATTTACTTCAACCAATGAGGTAAGATGGAAAGAGGGAGGAAAAAGTACAGAATGTAGGGTAAGAAATATTCCCAGGATTAAGCCACTTGTCTTAGCTAACAATTTATTTGTTCCATCAATCTAACCAACCTTCCATTAACTTGCTTTGTTCAGCAAGCAAGCTTTAAGATTGGAAAACCACCTCCAAAAGACATGGTTGGAAGATGTTTATAAAACACATAGGAATTCTCAATGTTTCTAAAGTCCTGTAAGAAGTCAAATCTAACCATGATTACTCCTTTCCCTACAACAGGGGTTGGCAAACTAGCTGGCAAGCCAAGTCTAGCCCACCACCTGTTTTCATATAGCCTGAGAGAATAGTTTTTACATTTTTAAACGGCTGGGGAAAAAAATCAAAAGAAGAATAGTATTTCTGACATGTGAAAATTAAATGGAACTCAAATTTCAGCATCCCTAAACAAGGTTTTATTGGAACACAGCCAACTCATTTATTTACATGTTGTCTATGGCTTATGTGCTACAATGGCTGAGTAGTCACAACACAGACCATATGAAATATTATCTGGCTCCAAAAGATTGTCAAAATCTGCCCTATATTAAAAGTTGCTACTAATTTGTCTTGAAATAACTGGCCTTAGTTATGTAGCTTTGCACAAGATACTCCAGATGGTTTTACTGAACACTATCTGAGCATTATAATAAATTATTGTATCTCAACATAGTTAAGCTAAAAAGCCAGCAAATCCCAATGACATTTTAAAAACCATATTCTTCAAAAAAGAAAGTAGTTCTTTCACCACTTTATTATTATTTCCAATGGGGAAAGGGTTTTAAGAATATTAGGTTTTTTTATTTCCTATATCACTTAAGCAGCCCAAAGTCTGCCACATATACACAAAATGCACCAGAATATATGGGTATTCGCTTCTTGAGAGGGACAGAAACTAACAAATACAAAGCAAAGGGTCATGGTCACTTTTTGGCATAATAACCTAAGACATTAAGATTCGCTGCAATGTCACCATCTGCCTCAGAATAAAATCTTCAATATATTCTTCCTACCTTTAAAAGATTTGTAGTAGGAGATTTTTCAGACATACAGAAAATTGAAAGAATAGTTCAATGAAAATCCCTATAAACTCTGCCTAGATTCCCAATTAATTACATGCTGCCATATTTTCTTCATCTATTTCTTTAACTTTTTAGTGGCAGGAGCTGAGTCTCTAGAAAGTAAACTGGAGGCCATTAGAACACTTTACCCAAATATTTTAGCAAACAATACCAGGATAATAATTTTCAAGGAAATGAAGTTATAACAATATAGGAAATGTGCAAAAAATATATATTAGGAAAAAAAGAGAGAGAGACGTAAAGCCAGATTAGTGAAGATACAGGCAACCTCTGAAATTTCAATAATCAAAGTTTACACTGGAATGTTAGCTTACTGAGACCACAAGAGTAGTCTAATTAATACAATGACTATCAAAAAAGATCAGGATAGATTAGACTTCTTACCTCCCATACTCAATGACTCCTCCTTCACATGAAAGACCACATCTCCAGTACCTACCTAAGAGCAGCAGCATGGTAAGTATCTACGTAGTCAGAAATGAAGAGCTCTCGGTTCTTGATAACTGGGTCTGTAATGACAAGTTCTCTTCCAGAATCTGTAAAAAAAAAAAAAAAAAAAAAAAAAAATTAATTCCTTGAGAGGATATTAAAATTGGGTTCCAAAACAAGCAGGGAATTTTTGCAAAACTAAAGAAAGCACAGTAAACAACCAGGCCTGGTTAGCATCCTAAGTGTACAAAATAGGGACGAGAAATAATATACTCATTTAGCAAGAATAACAAGAACAAAGTGTATAGTATAGTTTTTGTCAGTTGATGAAATATCTTATTGGATGTGTTTTACACCCTTTACTAAGACTCTATAGTTTGCTGAAATGCATTAAGCACAAAATAAAAAAAGAAGGAAAAAGAAGAAACAATCTCCACATCCTAGTAACTTGTCACCACCTACTAAAATATTTAGTGGTCCTGCCCATCTTATTTTTTATTGCTAAATATTCCAAAATGGAGTGAAATCACACAGTGTTTTAGTTGAAAATTAGTGGTCCTGCCCATCTTATTTTTTATTGCTAAATATTCCAAAATGGAGTGAAATCACACACTGTTTTAGTTGAAAAGATCTTATTTTTTATTGCTAAATATTCCAAAATGGAGTGAAATCACACAGTGTTTTAGTTGAAAATAATAATCAAGTTACTATTCTTAACAAGGAACCATAATTTAACCACTTTAACAGAACTTTTTACAGTTTGAAAGAAGGAAAAAAACTAGTAAGATATAAAAGATAAAATTCTTCAAAACTGTTTTTGACTACTGGTTTGCTAACTCAAAACCTACCAATAAAAGTAGGGCAGAGGAGTGGGAAGAGTGCAAGCCTCAGGACCAGAGTTTGGTCCCAGTCCCAACACCACCACTTAGCAGATGTATATCCTCAGCAACTCCCCTAGCATCTCTAAACCTCAGTTTCCTCATCTGAAACTAGGGAGAGACAAACCTACTTCATATGATTAATGGGTGACAAACGTGAATCACCTAGCATGGGGAGTCTAGCACCTGTCAAAAATCAACTTTTAAAAAGGTGTTCAAAAGAGATCTGTTCAAATGTAAAACACATTTTGTGTGTGTGTATGTATATATATCTATATCTCATGTGTCAGTGAAGTTGCTCAGCAGAAACTACAATACCAGAAAGAGAAGAATATGAGTTGTGTGTAACGACCTTCCTATTGTTCTGAAAGTCAGGAATCAAGCTTATTTCCAAAACATAATTCAGATAGCTTTGCTTTGGAAACTGAAGTTCACAACCCTGACTACAGAGAAGTTCAATGATACAGATCACTGAAAAGGAAAAACAAAAACAAAAACAAAAACAAAAAACAATACTATAGAGTTTTAAATATTGTTTGTTTGTCACTAGGTGAGGAAAAGGAATTTTTAAAAATGGAATTACTGAAAGAGCTAGGGGGTGGGGTGGGGGGATGGGGGTTGGAGAATATTCCCGTAGTATTATTTATAAAAAGCTTTTTCAGAGAAAATTTATCACAGTGATTGTCTCCATTTAAGAAATGTTTTAAGAAAGAACTTTGCCCAAAGCTAAGAATATAAGAATCAAACCAGAAGGACATATTTACCATTTTCATTATGTCGATCCTGAACCAAATGCTGATACACAGAATCTGGAACTTCAGATTGACGATAGTACCATTTCACGTTCATGAGTAGATGGTCCCTCTTACTCTGAAAAGGAAAATCTAACAGCATTAGGAACAGGATTTCGGGTGCCCACAAGTGCATATCATACCCATGATCAAAAGCCCTGGTAAATAGGTGGTCAGGAAGATAGGGAGACGTGATTACCACCAGGACCACAACAATACATATAAGTCATTTACATACAGGGTCAAATTTTATTTTTTAAAAAACCCCAGCCAAAGCACCCCTTCAACCCTACCCCTCAAAGTTGCTTTTTTCAGGACACAAATGACACCAATCTTGAACCTGTATATCTCCCCAGTTTGAGTAATTCATTCAATGTTACATTTTTATTTAACATTAACTACATAAATACATCCTTCTATCTTAATCTTTAATCATTTGGGTAAATTTTTTTTTTTTTCGGCTGGCCCGGTGGCGCACTGCTACAGTGCGCCGCTTGGGAGCGCGGCGGCGCTCCCGCCGAGGGTTCGGATCCCACATACAGACCGGTTCCCGCTCGCTGGCTGAGCGAGGGGCGGGAGCGACGCCGAGGGGTGCGATCCCGTTGCCGGTCCTGGTCCGGGCGCGACACCGAGGGTTGCGATCTGTTGCCGGACACGAAAAAAGACAAAAAGGAAAAAAATATATATATATTTTTTGTCTTTTTTCGTGACCGGCAATGGGATTGCAACCCTCGGTGTCGCACCCGCACCGCGCTCAACCAGTGAGTGGACCTGTCTCTATATGGGATCCGAACCCTCGGCAGGAGCGCCGCTGCGCTCCCAAGCGCCGCACTCTACCAAGTGCGCCACTGGGCCGGCCCTGGGTAAATATTTATAATCAGTGTCAGCACACTGTCAAGGCTCATTAAAGGCAATAAGCTAAAAAGAACTTACCTAGCAAGGACTGGCACAAAGGCATCTACTCTCCAGGGTTTGCCTATCACCCAGATTGAATGAGATTCTCCCTCCACCTTGCTGCCACAGAACTTTGCAGTTATTGCTATATGCCAAACTAACACAGCAAAATGTGGGTGGTGGTAAAGGCGCTATGTGTCCATAGAGCAGGGAGCCCATCTCATCTATCTGTGAAACTCCACAGAATAGAACAGCTTCTGTGCAATTATTTGTGAATGAAGAAGAGTTCAATGATGATCACAGTCCTGTAAAAGTTTGCAGGACACTTAACCATGTTATCCCTAAACATTAACTTTGTTCCAAGTTCATTCAAGAATAAGGAATCAAATATTGCTCTCACATTCGAAGGCTATTGGGCTACAGCTTGAGGTAGATCACCTCCATGCGCCTGGTCATGAAACATCTCAAAAGGGGGTGTACTAAGGTTTCCCATGGCCTCACAAAACACTTTTCCAACCCAGATGGGGTCTTTAACAGACTTTCCCAAAGTGAATGCAGTATCATTCACTCTTAGCAGGGTCTACCTTCTCAACACAGACCCGCTGGTCAGAAATAAAAGAAAGTTAAAATTCAAGAAACATCTCATGTGTATAAAGAAGATGGTTAAATCCTAAAATATGTCAAAAGAGCCTTCATTAATCAGGGAAGATGTTTTCTGCCTTAATAAGAGGTCATAAATATTTTAAAACCAGAAAGAAAAGAAAAAAACTGCCACAGTCTCAACAATTCAAATGTGAAGACGTGCTATTCGAGAGTAAAATCATAAAAACCAATATCCTTGCTTTGCAATTAACTGGGTCAAATAGACTGACTACAAATATAGGACATCATCACTGGTTTGAAAAAAACAGACTATAAATAGAGAATAATCTTACATGATGGGTGCTATTTAGTTTTTTATCCATTTTGCACCTTCATATTGAAAACTTCAATGAAAAAAAATTCTACATTGTTCACTCTGCAGATGGGAAAAAGAGGACAAACCAGTATGTTAAATAAATAGAACAGATCTTATGTAGAGGATTTATGGGGATTATGGAGGAGGTAACATCTGACCTAGGGGAAAAGGGGAGAGATTTCAATGGATTTGTTCTAGGCAAAGGAGGAGACCCGAGAAAGACAAAGATAGACAAAGTATAAGATATACCCAGACCCACATGGTCTACCTGCATGTGGTACAGGAAGATACTATGGAGCAATACTGAGAAGAACCTGAATCCTGACTTAGTCTGGACTTCAGTGAGCTTACAGGACAACTGGGGTCTTCTAACTTTATTCCTGACCAAAATACACAAGCAGTGACGTACGAAACACCAGGACTCCCTGGGAGAGCAGCTAGAAAGTGTAGGAGACCAGAATATGTCACCCCAAAATATAACTCTTTGGTACAGTGATTATTCTGCAAAGAACTTAGAACGATTGAGGAACAATTATTTTTTCCTTCCCTACAAAAGCGAGTTTCTCCCATAGTCAGAATGATAAAAAGCAGAAACAGGAAAGAAAAATACAAACCAGGGGAAGGAGCAGAGCTTGTTTGGTGATGTCCAAGGATAAATTCATTTAAGTAAACTATACTGACTAATACAGGCTTTCTCAACCTCAAAACTATTGACATTTGGGCTGGATAATTCTTTGCTGTGGAGTCTGTTCTGTGCGCTGTTAGATGTTTAATAACATGCCTGGTTTCCAACCACTAAATGTCAGTGGCACGTCCCCCCGCGCCCCCCCCCCCAGTTGTGACAACCAAAAATATCTCTAAACATTGCCAAATGTGCCCTGTGGGTACAAAATTGTCCTCAGTTGAAAACCACTGGTCTATCAATTCTTCATTTTGTTTTGTTTTTTAAGGAAAGCAAAGCTAGCATAGTAAGAATAAAACCTAGCTCAAGCACTACAGGGTAGGGAACATGGACTACTAGAAAGAATACAGGAAAGCCTGTCGTGGCTCAAATCCCAGCTCCACAACTCTGAGCATATTAGTGAGATTCTCAGTCTCCCTTTTTCTGTGACATGGGGATATTGAAACCTACCTAAAAGAACTACTGAAAGAATTAAAAAGACAGAAAGCATCTGGAACTGACCATGTGCTCAAAGAAGTATTTCCTTTGTTAATGGGTGATTGTAACCGGTGATTCACAGAAAAATTTCAAGAACTTTGCTGAGAATTATAGGAGTTATTTCTTTACCAGAACATAATTTCTTGCAAGTAATGATAGTGATCGCCAGTCATTGAACTACTAACATGCTTCAATGCTCACAGTAATGAGTTACTTAATAGAGTATATAGCAATTCAGATATACTAGCAGTCCTAGCAACAACGTTCTAAACTCTGTATATCTATGTATTTCTGAAACACATTTAAGATGTATGAAAACCTAAAGGGCAACAGAAATACTTTAAGGTACAGTAACTGGCAACTGTATATCTATTTTTCAGAACAAAGCCAGCAATTTTGGTGACCTTTTGAAGTACAATATCTATGTTATCTTCTGACTCAGGCATGCTTATTATTACACACAAAAAAATTACTGCTCTGGCTTGTTTGTACCTAGATTTATGATTCCCAATATCAAGCTTTACAAAGGCAGTTGAAAGACTATTGTGTTTCCTAATGCAGTACTACCCAAGAACCAGGGAGTGGCAGCATTGTGCTTTAAAAAAGACTCCAGAATCTTAATTACACAGATGCAACTTAACAAAGGTACACAAAAGTCTTGAACAAATTTAAGTCACTGTAATAGGCACAACGTTCCCAGATAAGCCAGTAACTTAATTAAATATCTATAAAATATTAATTAAATTAAATATCTATAAAGAGGCAGTAGTTTGTTTCAGAGAATAGTAGACTAAAATTATGTAATCTA